TTCGGGTGGGCCGTCCAATTATGAATGAATAGTTTTGACTTTTCCCCCCTAAACTTATAAGATGTTCCACAAATTCTAATCATCCTCCAAGTTTACTAAGTAAGTAGCCTTAAACATGGTTATAGTTATTGATACCTTAATTTAAGAATGATTGAACTTGGTACAATCTCGTATTCTCATCGGACCGTGTGTCTATATCTCGGAGACTTGAAGATGAAGATCTTCATCTGAAACTGCTACTGTTAGAAGTAGGCTTACCTCATTTTCGCAACTTGGTCGTGTTAGGGCAACATGATTGGACGCATCCTGTCCGAAGTCCTCTGCCATAATAGTTATAATTCCCGGCGTTGTACCGTGGAATTGGTTTTGCCGGAATTGTCAATGAATCTTGCCATCCTCAGCACTAAGCTACAACTTCAAATTGACAAGTGAAGTCAATCCCTTGCCTAACTTTCTGCCGAAACATTTGTGCTATCACTGCTCTTTTTGTTCTGGCCCATCTCTCTACTCCCTACCCTATTGTCTCAATCCTGCCCTATCACAACTCAATTGTTTATATTCATCCTCCAGAGATGTGCCCTTTTTGGCCCGTTTATTGTGGCATCATCACCTGCTGTATGCCTTGCCTCCCCTCCATCTCGAGTTGCCGATCCGCCTCGAACCTCTACTCGGATCTCCCTCATGGGTCGACAGATCCGACCGATTTCATTCGGCTCCAGACACTGTGTATCATTTGCTCCATAAGCTATTTCTCAAGCTTTCAGAGGCACGTACAAAGTCGCCTCACCTGCAGAGCGCATAACCTCTGATTCCCATGCTTGCAGATATTGGGCGTTGCCTTGAGTCGTCTCCTTGATTGAGCCCGTGTGCCCTGAGCAAACTGCGCGTCTATCTCTGGTCACCTACCTTTCGAGTGAATTTCTAGTCGATCTGGCTTAATGTCGAATTTATGTGACGGTTGTGATTATCTGTCTCCCTAGCCAGACCACAAATTTGTAATTGTTTCTTCAAGCAAACCACTCAATAAAAGCCTATTTTCTTGATTTCCGAAGCTTCCCCACTATTTTCTTCCTAGCTATCCCTTTTCCTCTGGTTTACTATAGATCCATCAATCAGGTGTCTCTTTCTTGCTTGTCTTGTTGTATCGTTATTTTCTTCGAGTTTGATTAGGCACTATGCAAATTATGGCTAATTCTGCCTTCTTCCAATCTCATGTTAATTACATTTCTTCCCTCAAGGATGATAATGGCCTCCATAACATTCCCTTTGTGTTTTCACCTAATGATGCCCTTTTTCCACTGCCCTTTAATAGATCTCGTGTCCACTCTGTGTGATGTGTTCCGCTATTTCTGATCTTTCGGTATCCATTTTCCTGTAATCCTTAAGATCCTAAAGAGAGGACTAAGCTTTTTTTTCTTCAAAATGACAGAAACTAGTGGAAGCCATCAATATATCCTATATGTTCCCCGAGGAGACAACGCGAAATGGAGACGGATATAATCCCAAGAATCTTGGTATATCAAGAAACAACACAAATGAACAGATTTGGGAGGATAAGCGGTTTCCTAGACCTAAATGAACAATTGGCTTTTCAGGCGGACGAAGGCGGAGTGACTTTCATTATGGATGGGAAACAATATACCAAAAAGATGGAATGTATACTGCGAGACAGGACCATCTATCATGAAGTTAATAAGGATCCAACTATGAAGATAAATAGATCCTTACATGACATGTTTAAAGTTATGAATAGGAATGGGAATATAATGGATAGACAATAAATTCAATAAAAGAAAAGGATGCACAACCACTAACAGTCTACTGATTACTGAAGGTACGCTAAGATGGCAAATCACTAAGGCTGATAATCAACAACAACTACGAAGCAACACATTAATTGGAAAAGTTTATGTCTGAAACTCAAGGTAAACGACATATTATAGGAGTGAAGCATTTATATCAATTTAATCAAAGGATCATAAACATGACACTGGAAGAAATATAAGTATTGGCAAGTTTTAATGTGTGATCTATATACACAAACATTTCTGAAGAAAATGCGTCAGCGGTCCTGGTAGACCTTTTTGATCGAGAAGGATATCATAGAAGCAAAGAGTATCAGAAGAGTCGTTAGCACTACTAATCAGCTTGGCAATAGGGACTACCTACTTCACAGTCAACGGCAACATTTATGAACAGACATTTGGAATTGTATGGGATCATCGCTCACTTCTATTGGTAAGTTCATACCCGAACAACGTAGAAAAAAGTTCAAGATTTCAGCGCTTCACTCAAGGGTGCTTATGCGATACTTGGACGATTATTTCACACTGGTCGTATTGAAGAGAAATATTGGAGGATTTCATGAAGACTACAAGCTAGATTGATGAAAGAATCAATTTCACAATATAAGTAGAAGCGGAAGGTCACTTACCTTTCCTAAGTGCTCAACTCATTCGCTCTAATGGAACATTATGGAGGAAAATGTTCCGCAACAAATCGTATGCCGGAGTAATACCCAATTTCGAGTCTCATAGCTACAGACTGAGGATGGGAATATGAAGGAATATCATCATTAGAAGTCTACTATTAATAGGCGTGGGATTCTGGGATGAAGAATAGGTAAAGTTGGCTTGGTTATACCTTGACAACGGATATTAGAGAGAAGTAATATAAAGAAACATACTAGCTATGAGGAGCCAATGGCAGGACGGGGATTATGAAAGAAAGGTAAGGATGGAGAAAGGCTCACACAAGTGGATATGCCTCTGCGAACCAGCTCAAAAATTACGACTAGTATTAAGAAAATGGAATATTCAGA